CCCCCCCCCCACATTTAATTCGTCAAAGCTACGAAACCACTTATTTGACAATAAAAATTATAAAAAACAGACAATTAAATAATTTAAAAATAAGCCCTTACCCAGAGCCCAAAACACCTTCCAAGCAGTATTTATCAAGTGGATCTCCGATGGAAATAATTGTTGCTGAAATAAAGAAGAAAAAGCGATAGAATCTAGTTTAAGTGGAAAATCAAAGTTCAGATTAAGCGGACAATTCCTACACCGAAATAACGAGGAAATTAACAAATTAGTACCAGAGCAATTAGAAAAGCCTTATATTTTTAAGCAAGAGGCTTCAATTTACTATTTCCGATTGTTAACACTGTTAAACGAGCATACTCCAATAGCTACATTACAATCCGTAGTTTCAAAGAAAAAAAGGAATAGAAAGTCAAGGATAGGAAATCTCCTAAGTCCTGAACAGAATTCATAGTAATCTTGTGGACAGAGTTCATTGCTCGGGTCATAAATTTTCTGACCCCCATTACAGAACTTTAGTGCCTGCGAATGAGGAAATTTATTTGCTAAATTACCGGCCAACCAACACACTAATCGATATAACCAAACTAGGTTTGTGAATTTCCTGAATGCTTTTTAATTAAATGGCTGTCATCGTGATATAGGTCTATTCTCTTCAACCTCAGTAACAATAACCACACGGACCATCAGGTCCAATGACAATAGCTTTCCAAAGCGTTATAGAAAGGGAACAAACATTCGAAATAAGCATCTAGACTATTTGGCTCGTCAGCAAAGCTTAGCCCATTAGCGCTGTATAAAGTAAACGAATGTAAATCTTGAAAGCTGAATTAAGATAGACTTAGAAATTTAAATATGCACATTATAATTGTAAGAAACTGGTCAGATCCACAAATCCAAAGCATGATTACTGATTACGCGTAAGTCTGTGGCTAAGAAAATGGGCCTAACAATGAGAAGAAAATTTGGATTTCAGAGAAAAACGTATTAGAAGCGAAACGCTTCTCGGTAAAACTAGTCTGAGCACGTGTAAATAAGACCAAACTATGTAATCATGAAAACTCATTAAGATAGAAACAGCAATCATCCCCCTTTCTTTAGTAAGCATGAAAAAAACGTACACAACGCTTCGAAAAATTCAGCATCCGTCATCTTTTTCTTAGCCCTTCGACGCAACTGTGCCGGCTAAAGTAATAATGAGAAAATGAAGAGATAAAGCAAAGAAAACATAGTTAGACCAAATAAAAATACCTTTTCAGTAGATGGACTGAGGGGAAGAGGTGGTTTAACTTCAAGTACTGGTTTATTAGAGTTTGAATTTTCCGAATTCTTATCTTTGTTAATTGCCTTATTCATTACTTTTGCCAGCATTGCCTGAGAAGAATTGGAGTCTTGGAGACTACTTGACTCTGATCCTGTACTATTATGATAAAGCTTTCCGTTTTCAAACCCAGAACCAGTAGACAATTTCCTATTTGCCTCATCTATGGAACGCTATGGTTAACGACAAAGTTTAAAACATACCTAAATCATCCAGGCTACTTCCGCTAACGCCAAGGAACTTTTCATTATGCTCCTGCTGTTTCATGATTTTATCGTGTGTTTGGCATGCGCTGATTATTTCTGCTTGGTGGGAAATTTGTTCCTCAGTGGTGAAATTTGCTTCAGCGATGAGCTCTTGCCATGTTTCTGGCAATCCTTTGAATGTCTTCGTTTTCGGATCAAACTCGACATGTATTAGCTTTTCAACATTTGTAGGCATTGAAATTTCACTTATGATGTTTTGCTTATCACTCCATCGTTGGCGAATACTTTTGAAAGGCTTCATGTTATCCGAAAAAGCTATTTGAATATGCGGCGTTATGGTAGACGAAATAAACAGTTCTTATTAATTACAAATTGTACAGTATAAATGTAAAAAATTGTGAAACTTATTTGATAATAAATCTTGAAAAAATAAGTCAAAGTCTTGTAAGGGCGAATAAGAATTCAAGGTTCACTTGGCGAAGAATAGTTGAGACGATTTATTAAAAAATTGTAAATAGTGCTAATGTTTTGGCTATTTATATTGTGACTTTAGATTGGTCCCTACATAGTCAGAACATATTTATCTTTATCGGTTTTTAATTGAAATTATTCTGAATACAGCTTTCGAACACCTATTGTGTACAATTAAGATTCGTAGGACATCACAAGATTTGGAGTGTGCGGCTGTACACGTAGAGCTCTGCTCAGATATTAAGCTATTAATGTTCACTCAAATTTTGGTAGAATTATTTGAAAACTATTCGCATTCGCCGATTTCATAATTTGCAATAAACGCGTTCTGTGTGATGTGCCTCCTTCCTCCCTAGCTTCACTGTAGCTTACCTGCTTCACAGAGACTAGCCCGATATAGGAAATACTGCCATAGAGACTTCTGGGTCAGTCAAGGCTTTACTAGTGTAGCAGTCCGCTACAAATTTCAAATGCTCAATAATATTTTATGTACACTTCACCTAAACCCCGTTCTTTTTTCATAAGACGTCACTTTTAAATATATAAATTAATGTTATAATTTCCTGTTCATTAAATCGGTTTTTGATTATTTAACGAAATTTGTGATGTAGAAGTGAGATTTTCTTTAAGAGATTAATTTAGTTGATTGAATAAGCTATCTGTTTCTTGATAACGCCTTTTAAATGATTTAAAGAAACTAAATACTATTCAACTTGTGAGCTTCCTGAGCTCATTTTGTAAGATATCGACTGCTCGATTTATTAAAGGTAGGTACCAAGGCATACAAATGAAATCATTCTGTTAGCGTGTTAACTAATTTAGCAAACAAATTACTTGTTACTTTTACGTATATCTACTCACTCTTGGCCATTCTAATCTAATCTTTGTGTCCTCCGCATTTTAACCTTTTTACTGAAATTCCGTCATAGAGGTTAGCCAACGTCTTACCACTCCAAATTGGTTGATGTCCATTTACATATATTATATTATTGAAATGTCATCGTTTAAGTTGAATTAAAAACCTCCGGCACGACGTCAATTTTTACGAGTATTTAGGCAGTCGCTTAATTTAACTATAAATCACCGACATCTGGTAGCTTTAGAATATCATTAATGTAATTTCATAATTATATAGTTATGGCATCGTGCTACATTGTTGACAAAACTAAGAAAAGTATTAGAAATGTATTTAATTTTCATCTATATTTTAAGATCAATTAAATATCGTAGTGGGATCGTATTGTATGCAGTGAAATGTTTTGCTCAATGATCAATCTTTACAATTACATAAAGGAAATAATAATAATATTATTATTTTTCAATGGCAGGCTTTGTGATAGTCATCATTAGCCCATTAGTTGGCCTCGGACTTCACAGAGGGGAGGAATATCAGAGTCACGAAAAGTTGAAAGGCCGAACAGATGTAAAAGTGACAGGCATAAAGGTAGAGAGCAGGGTAAAGTGAGTACTATGGAAGTGGTCGAGTATGACATATAGTGGGGTCACATTAGTCCGAAGTCAGATGTCAACTGAGAGTTTATAAACTCTAGCCGTATGAGAATACGATGCTCAATGTGTACCACGTGTAAGCAAGTCTATCTCACATCCCACATATAGGAAATGCGAAAATCTACATTTTTCCCAATACCGATATCATGAGAAAGAGGAGATTTCTAGATATTCATATTTGTAGCCACATGAATTGTCAAGTAAATATTCTTATATTGCTTTTAAGAAAAATAGCGTAAAATATTGTTTCGTGGATTTAATTCCAGGAGGCTACGATTTCTACAAACCAACTTTTAAAAATTGCTTAACCTAAACGCTAGATCTGGTAAATTTGAGCTAAATGAAGTACAACTTAATGATTCTAAAATTGTTGGAATTGATGTTTACCCTGAATAAATTACATGATTTCACAAAAATTAATAAACGGTTTCTGCCATATAGAATATGTCAGCGGATAAGAAAGTGATCTTGACCAATTTTATTTGGAATGCAGAAATAAGGATATATATTAATAATTGCCCTTTAGTTGCATTTTTGTATTTTAAGTCCGTTTAATTCATCCAATGTAAATAATTTTGAAATCCATCTTTGGTTTATTCGTAACTGTAGTTATAGCGTTTATGAAGACAGAAGAATTTGTTTGTGTCATGGTTTAATAAAGTGGCTCATTTGGAAATCTGGTACTGTTTGAGAACAGTTTTATTGATGATATTTTAACATGATTATGTAATGTCTTGGATTGTCTTTTTAAATAACGGGAAATGCTTTATTTTTTATAAATGAAATCACCTCAAATATTTTTACATCTCAGCAAATATTTTTCTTAATTTATGTTATATCAACCAAAAATTACTTTCTTTTATGCGTTCAATCATTTTATTCAGATCATTTTAGCGTCACGATCATGTATCCAGTAAATAGTGGTAATGGGCCTCCAGTTTCTTCTCAAGGAAATTGGCCATCAGCCTCCAACGCATCTAGCTCTGCGCAGCAGCGAACTGTTCCACCGCAAACGATCTCATTTCCATCAACACAACCTCAAGGCATGATGAGATCAAGGATTTCTCCAACAGGAGTGACAATTATTAATCCCTCTTCCAATTCAGAATCACAACCCGCATCTCCTGATCAAGTTCGTAGCAGCTATCTTTGCCTCCTTGGACTAGCCGAATTCTTCCGTAAATCCAGTCCGCCAAATATTCGGCTTGCCATACATTGCCTCAAAGCCATTCTTGTCTACAAACTACCTGTTAATTTTGAGGCGAGAACTCATCTCCAGCTGGGGAAACTACTTTTCATGTATAGCAAGAACGACGATTTAATCAAACTCCATCTTGATAAAGCTAGGGTCCTTAGTGCTCACTTGCGAGCTCCAGATGATTTAATTAAATTTGAGGCTGCTGACCTTCTCGCAGACTTCTTTGAAAGAAAAGGCAAAAGATATGAGGCTACTTGCATTCTCAACGATACCCTTAGGTTTTCCCCAGATAATCCTTATTGGCACTGTCGGCTGTTACTTAAACGGGCTGTAAGATATCTGTTAACCGTGTTTTTTATGTAAATTATCGAGGTTTATGTCTTTTCTCTTTAACTTTGTAGCAAGCCTGTGTTGCAGATAGGGATATTAATTCCGCTTGTGAGCTGCTTGCCCGGGGGTCAGAATTCGCACAAAGTCGGGAATCAGAATATACTCGCGGTCTCTTTTTGCTCAGTAAATGCATGGTAAGTTGTCGCTTCTTGCAAACAAACAAACCTGTTTACTTAGCTAATTTTCACTATCTTCCTTTTAGTTATTGCTAGCAAGTAGGCAGTTGCCTGAAGTGACTAACACTCTTACAGTTGCCAACCGATTGATTGAAAATCTCAATGGGACTAATTATCAGAGGGAGGCGTTGCGGTTATTCTATCTCATCAATCATGTCTCCCTTTTCCTACTGGCTGGTCGGGCCAAATCAGCTCTTCCTATCCTGCGACAACTTCAACAGAGCATTCAGTATTTTGCTTCGATGGAAGAAAGTGAGTTACAGTTTCTTCGTTTAAAATTGCTTTCATCGTGTTAATCTTGTTGGGGAGCCTGATCACTTATTTTCGTTTCATTCAATCGTGTACCTGACTATTGATTATTGAACTTTCACTCCCAAACTCAGCGAAGAATCTATTATTGCCAATATTGGTCAGCCAATCCTTTATCTCACTTCATATTCTATTCAAATGCTTTTCTCTTATCATGAATGAATTGTTGTCTGAGATACAAATGTCTTATGTCTAACCGAAATTAGCTTCAATTAGTGAATGCTTGGACGAATGGCATTTCCTAAAGATTTATACTAGAAGGTCAAATTAAACATGAGTATGCACATAAAATTTTTTCAGTCTCTGTCCTCTAATTCTGATCTGGAATTCTCGGCGGTGTCTGTGTTGACATAATCATGTCTTACTGTAGTGATCAATAATCATCTTTACATTCGAATATCTGCTTTTCCGAACCTCGTAGTAGCACATTCTTGAGCATTTAAATATATCTTTAAGGTGTTTTGCTGATTAAAGCCGTCATGAAAAACGCCCTCTTGAAAAAGTCAATACGCTAGGGAGACCCCAAGAATTCTATTCGCTTGTCCAAGGTGAGGGCTCAAATTAGTCCCTTCAACAAATTTGAAATTTACACGAGTAACTACACTTATTTAAAGATACTTATCGATCAGTAATGCATAGAGATTCAAGTCAGGAGGGTATATCCTCTCGAATTCGTAATGCCGCCTTGGGTTCGTGCTAATCACAAGGAATCATACACCTGTTAGCTCGAAATATTACAAAGGTAGTTCTATTGCTAATTTCTCCTTGAACAGCTTGTAGCCAAGGCGAAGATGATTAAACTAATAAAGTTGGACTTTTGGCCTATTACTCAAATTTTTACGATTTATCTCTCTTCACTGTCTAGTGAATGTACAGAACACGAAAGAAGTGGATCGTTTTCAATGGATGCCTCGTGAATACATAATTATTCTCATCTATCTGATCACAGTGATGCAGTATATGCAATCGGGATCCTTACAACGCGCTCAACATGCTGCCGAAAAGGCTTTTACACGAATTGACAACCTTTCTGATTTTGACACCAACCCCCTCCTCACTGTCTTCAAACTCTCCCTCCTCGAACACACCATCATGTGCCGGCTGGTGATGGGGAAGAACACGAAAGCTGTGGAGGGAGTGGGTCTGGCTTGCAGGATCTGTCATGTGAACCCTGCACTCATGCATCGTAGACGGCCGCAGCTCCACACACTGATTGGGCTCTATGCTATGTCCATGAACTGCATGAATCAGGCCGAGAAACAATTTAATCTTGCATTAAGGGTAAGCACTTCTTTTTCTTAATTTTTACCGATTCATTTGAGTAACATATATATGTATAAGTATGTATATATATGTACACTAAGTAATGGCCATCTTGGTTGGCCACGCTATGAACCGAGAGCCTGCAACTAAACAGGTATTTAAGCAGAGGAATGGGCTTCGGTAACTAGAGTGGTAATGCTCTTCCAATTTAATCTCCATTTTCGGATTGGAAATCTTTTTGCCGAAAAAACGAGTTTTCGCATTGGCACAACCAGATTTGGATATGAACATCAGGAGTTTTTGGGTGCCTAAATTGTAAATACTAAGAACTGTCATTGACTCCTCTTGTGACGCAAGAAGTAGCCTTTTCAAATTGCCAATTGGTTGCTCTTTCAGATCATTGGGATTAAGCAAGGTTTGAGCAAGCAACGATCATAAGATAGCCAGATTATATTCCTGTACACGATCACTTATGGCATGGTAGGTGTGGTTAATACTCGGCGATGCAGGTTGTAGCAGATTTAAGAGGTTCTTCTTAATCTACTTTCAAAATGAATCCACTAGGATAAGATAAGCTGTTCTTTAAATAGTTTCAGCAGGACTGTGGTTAGTGGGTTACTAATAAACCTATTTTGAGAGCATATAACGAGTTATTTCGAAAGAAAGGGGTGCAATCGCTTGCGTAACCACTTTTCGTTACCATCCCATTTGAGTAGGAACGATTTTCTCGGGCTTTTTTGCATCTATTATGCATCAGTGTCCATCACTTGGGACGGAACATGGCCTGCAATTGGCTCGAATGTTGTGACACTAATCAAAACACTCTGGAGACTTGATGTTATGAACGATTTTAGGTGGCAAGTGATTTGTTTGGTGATCATGCTCGGGCCTGATTATTGCTTGGGAATGGTAGTCTTGAAGACAAGCCGTACTGGTTTAGAAGATTTCGCAGTATGTGAGATCTGACTGTGGTGAGTGTAACTTTATGTCACTACTGGCTAACCCAGCGAGAGTTTTAGTAATAATCAACATAGAAATTTATTTTACAACGTAGGAGGTAGAGAAAATTTAATTTAAGGGGGTGTGCCCTCTTTTCTCCAAATCTCCTATTTCTACAAATCTATCTGAGAAGTGCAGATAAACAGGAAACGAATTGCTGAAAATATTGGTCAATATGAACACACATCGGTATATATCCAGTGAACGGTGTTAAACAGAACGTGAATTTCTCATTAGATGGGCTCTAGACGACTAACATCAGCCTGATATGTAAATTTAAGCCCCATTTTCTTTTAACACATTTGGCTGTTATGTTAATGATACTTCCTCACTCTAACTACTTCATTTGAACAGAACCCCTGTATTACAACGGATCAATTAATTACTAATTACAGTCAGATTAGACTTAATAGAACTATTTTTAATGGTCCTCTGGGAACTAAAAAGCAGGTTTATTTTATTATGCTTACCAACTGCAGGAATCACTTACAGAAGCAGAACCTTTCACTAAAATAGGACTATCGGTTCTGCGTGAAGATCAGTAAATCTTTTAATTAGGTAATCCTCATTGCACCCGGTATCGAAGAGATACTGAAGGAGAAGTAACTACTAGAAAACCGTCCCGAATCACGCTTGCCATAAGAGGCGAATGAGAGCTCTGAACACTGAAAACACGCAAAAGTTATCGTCTTATTTTTTTTATAGTAACTTCTTACCCAATCTACTTATTTTCGATTTCAGTATATGGCTGAATCTCAAGCTGGTGCAGGTAGTGGTGGTAGCAGTGGTAGTTCACGAGTTCCAGGTCCAGCACCCAGTTCCTCAGCTCCTCACACTTCCTCATCCGTCGCACCATCCACTTCAACTGCCGGTGCTGGTAACTTAGCAATTCCCGGAGGCATTGAGGGGGCAAATTCCATCGTTGAAGGCCCCACTACTGATTTTTCCTCCACTCTCTCTGGTGGACCGCGCGACTTCTTATCAGTGCTTATATGCCTCAATCTCGCTTTGGTCTACATCCGCAAAGGGGATATTAGGTCCTGCGAGGTGAGTTAACGAGATAAGATGTCGTGAACTTAAACAGTGCATCAATAGTAGATCTGGTGATTGTAAAGTAACTACCCCTGTGCGGATCTTTGGACGATTTACTGGTCGAGAAAGTGCTCAGTTAACGGCATGTGATGAAGTGTTGGAATTATTCCGATTTTAAAGCTGAATTTAGATAATTATATACTGAGATCGTTTCAAATACTTCCCAACAGTAGTCATGTAGCATATTTTTTAACCGGCCCTCAAGCTGTGATTACAAATAAACCTTCATGTACATCCATTTTTCATCAAATAGAATGCTACTCTACAACTGTCCTATGCAGGACCTGTTGGGATGGGCATAACACAGAGGGTCGTGATTAATCCAACTAGAGGAATCTAGAAACGTAAAGATCGATGGTTGGGATTTTTAGGAATAGCATTAAGCTTCTTCTGTGAGTAGACTTGGAGGTAATTTTGATCTAAACGTAATTCTAAGAACTATTGATTGCAAAATTGTACTTCTGGTCTATTATAAATGAAGGTTTACTTGCATCTACATTTTCATTTGCCTATTTCTCGAACCAACCGAAGAAAGCACTCATCTGAAGCTAAATAAATATTAAAGTTTCATTGATGGCGCGGATCTTGTCTTCAGGAATTTGTATTAATCTAAGATATTGTTACATTTTGTTAAAGCAGCGTTTGAGTTGTAGGTTATTTTTCACTTGCTCTGAAAACCTGGGGTTAGGGTACCCCTTGCAGTCTAGAGACTATGTCTTTGACCTTCTATCATTGTATTGGAATCATCCCAACTTCCTTAAGTTGTCATCCTTTAACCTCCAACTCAATATATGACTTTTACCTCTTTTAGTCCATCGTCAAGGAGGTCTTCACATCTGGTCTCCAAGTCTTGGAGGGCTGCTACTGTTTGCGAGCAGCTGCGGCTTATGTAAGGGGTTTCCAGGCTTTTATTGAGGGCAATTTCCCCGAAGCCAAAGCTAATCTCCGCGAAACTATTCGGCTGAGTCAAGAGGAAGAGCTCAATCGACTTTCCACATCGGCCTTCATCACTCTTGGTCAAATCCAGTTGAATGAAAGAAACATTCAGGTAGGATCTGAACCTTCTCTTATCTTCTGTTTTAAATCTCTGTCTGCCTGTATGCATGCCAATATATTAATAACGATTGTATATATTGTACTATTCAGACAAACAGATGTATATAACTCCAGCATGGGGGGTCCATATTTTGGGAAATATGTCGGGAACTTTGGTCCATGGTATTAGGATTAATTAATTTGACTCTTCTTGATTCGATTAACATTCTGCTTCTCTTTAACATTAAGAGCGATATTGGGATACGTAGCGTTATAACTATTCTTGGAGTTTATAAGACTTAAAGCAAACGAAAATTTGTTTTTTTTAATCAAGGCACCTGAGTTGCAGCAATCCCTTCTACAGGTCAAGGCTATTTTTTCCCTTTCCACTGAGCATTTGCATGTGTTTGACCACTCCGAACTTTGCCCTTTTCACACGAGTACTTGGAGGTTGGTTTTTACACTTCTAGAGACATATAATTCAACATTATTTTCTGTCTTATATCCATGACGGCTTGGTCGAACCAATGCCTTTCTTGGTAGATTCGCCTTAGTTAGGGCTCTCTTTTTAATGCGCCTTTGAACACTAATCGCATTACATTGCTTATGATTCTCCGTCTACCTAAGTGTGCCACTTGCAGTATAGTCACATACATAGCAGATTGCCTACCTCTCTTGATCTGCCATTTCTTTTATCTAGGAGGCGAATACGTTGATAACCAAAGCAATAATGGTAGCAAAAAAACTACCCGACATTGGTGTTCAGTTGTGGGCGACAACATTACTGAAGGATCTTGCAAACCTTCGCCAAATGCCTGAGGAGGAGCGACATTGGTTTGCTGAACACGATCAGTTTTCTCAAGCCATTATCAATGAACATATGCAGGCGAACAATTCCCCTGAGCATAATCTTATCAATGTAAGTTTAATGCAATCAATTAAATTTGTTCACTTTTCTTTAAGATATTAGTTATTCGTTGTCTGTGGTTATTGCGCTAAGGTTTTACAAATTTTTATCATGCGATGGCATTTGAGTACGCAAAATAACCTACTCTCTCTCTCTCATTATTATTGCAATGAAGTGTTATGGGATAAATTTATTGAATGCTGGAAGTATTGAAGTAATTTTGGGGTTACTCAAAGTTCTCGTGATCTCGATTTTCCGAATTTTATCTCTGGGTGTTTCTTGGCGTACGCACAGCTCGTTTGTCATTTTACGACTACTAAGCCAGTAGTCACAAGACCAATGCTCATCGGTACACATCCAGTGATTTTGCTGCCCGCCTACATTAAAAAGAGTGGGAGTAAAGTGAAAATTTCTCCAAAGATTATCTTCAGATTACTTTCCCTCTACCAAAGTAGGGTAGACAGTAAGCTTCTTAATGGGCTTGATAAGTATTATTGCTATGTTCGTTGGAATCCGATCGTGGGGTTTATCAAGTAATACTGCAACATTTTCGCAACTTTTGGCTTCTTAAGTTTAATCTTCTAACAGTTGTCAAAAGGGCTGGGAGCCTGTTTTTAGCAGACATTATTAGCATCATTGTGGATAATTCTTAATGAGGTATTAACTTCATAAATAACCTACTTGGCTTCATACGAGCAAACACGGGTGTAGAGTGGATCAATGATGAGCTTAAGCGTGCAATATACTCAGCTTCCACATTGAATGTTTCCAATAATGCTCTGCTTGTTCTCTTATAGTGGCTCGAAGGACCATTACCAAATTGGCTAACAGAACAGACACCATCAACAAACCCAACCACCTTGTAAGAAATGAGAAAGACTGATGGCCTAGCTTCTCGCATTTTATGGAGCCCCCACCCCACTCCAAATCCTGTTATTATTTTCACTGTAATACTACTGACATTTTATGAGTAAGAATACACAAATATCATCTCCCTCTTAATGGCTAATTATCATCATCATTAAAAGCATGTTTTTACTTACTAACTTACTGTAGGATCTATTTCTTTCACCACCGATATTCTACCGCTCTATATGTATCCGCTGTTCCACTTTTTCTCCAACCCACTACTGCTTGTTAAAAGTGTAACATTTCCTGTACTAGCATTCTCTTTTCTGTGAAGTACGGTTACGCAAATGTATTAATATTATGATTTTCTGGAGCGATAATAACGTTTGTCTCCTTGCGTTGTTACTTTGTGGCAAATAGTATGTTGGGAGGTGATCGTGTACTTTGATCAGTGGACTCGGCTCTGTTCACTTAGATATCCAGCTCAGAACCGATATAAACTAAACTCGTTAAAGTAACGATTGGCCGGTATATGTACATTCAATAGAAGTGTTTTGGTACGATTAAGGGTAACTTATGTAGGCTGGGCTTAAAATTGAGACTAAAAGCAAAGACAACATTACAGTTCATTCCATGATTGAGACTAAAGCGACTAAAGAAGCGAATAATGTGATATGGTTAGTAGATGAATATTATCGGTGTGATTACCAGTAGTATTTTCTCTTTAGTGGGTGTCGAAAACTAGGGACAGATCATTAGGTTGTACAAGAGAACTAATTCCAAAGCTAAAAGTGATTGCGGTTCATAAACTGATCATATAGGCTACAAAATTCAGGGGAATTTGAATAGTGATCTTCAGCCATGAATTAGTATGTAAATTGAATCGACTTTTTTTCAAAACGAAGGAAGTGAAGTATATTAGCGACGTAACACTTTATTAGTAGTTACAGAATCGAGTATGGATTAAAACGTAAAAGAAAAAGTGAAACCAGCCAATGCGCAGTTGAGCTTGTGCTCCAAGCATCCAACCTGAAGACAGGATATTGTCAATGACCACGAGTATAATCGACAAGGCTTAATATATTGAAGCAGAAGTAATAATGATCTCTATTTCCCTATAAAGTGATAGGATGAAATTGATATAACATCCACTTCAGTGTATCATTAGTCTTGCAAGAAAGCCATGATTAGGAAAAAATCAAGCAAAAGCAATGTTGAAATTCAAGTAAATTTAATATTTAAATGAAAATCTTTCAAATAGTGGTTATTTATGATTAAATAACAAAATTAGTTTTAATAAACAAATAAAAGAAAGTATATACGCCCGATCTATTTGTCGACTTGAAGGTTGTGCTTCCGCTGGTGTTTGGTTTTTCAATTGGATTTAAGTATGTGTCAATGGAGGGTCACCTAAATGCAATTTTATATTACCTGAAATGTTTACAATATCTTCATTTAAAAGTATCAAATGAATCACTGAATAGCAAACCCATCGAAGAATTCGTTGTGAAATCTTCTCAGGTATTTTATTTGTTGCTTTAATTTTGTTTCTAAGGCACTGGCATCACTTCCAGAACACCAAAAACTTTCGATTAAAACTTTCCTCTCAGATCATTCGGAACTATTTCCGCACTTAGACGTTGAGAGATTAGAGGAGTTAGCCCTGGATTCAGCAAATTTATCGTCAAGGGTATTTCGCATTAATCTTTTTACGGGATTTAATCTTAATAACCGACAATTATCCTGTGAAATGTATCTAATATTTCATATCCTTCTACAGTCAAGCCCATTCAAGAATGTTCCCTTCTTCTTCGAAGCCTCTCACTTGGCTTCGAAAGCTAATAAGCCTCGTGATGAAATTTTTTATTATATGGACTGGTGCTGGGAACTCAACCAGGAAGCTTTCATTAAACTTATGCTGGAGATTTTGGAAATTGGCGACCCTACACTTACGGATGTATCGATTTCTTGGATTATTGAAGCACTAAAAATTGATGATCGAGTGTAATTAATAGTATTTGCCCAATTTATTTACCGTTACTCCAAATATGCTTAAAATAAATTCTTTCGTTTTTTGCTAGATTGTTCGAGTTTACCAAGTTTTCTTGCGGAAGAATTCGAGATATTTGTGTACTTTATCCAGAGTTTTCTTCCGAGTTTATTTCCTCACTTCAAGTGATTTACGAGAGAGTGAGTCACTGTTGTCAATTCCAGTTGTAATATTTGTGTAAATATGTTAAATTGATATCGTTTTTAGAGTGGTTGCGTCGAGGAACCACATTGCCTAAATCTGGAAAGGCACATTAAATCTCTGCGTTTGGCTGGTCTGATACCTTCCTAAGTGGTATTACCGTCGCTCATTAACTACCTTCTGATACTTGTAATTGAATCACTTGCCATAGTAAAAATAATGTATCGTCGATTTGATAAAAAATCTTAAGTAACCTATGAATCAAAATTGTAATTAGATGTCTGGTATTTTTTGGAAAACAAATACTTTGCTATTATGAGATTCATTTTAGGTTCTGTGTCTGGAATCTCCAAGTTATAATGAGATTGAGAGATCTTCTTTAAGTCACAGATGGGTCGTTTGCATTTTGTGAGGTCAAATGACCGTTTTCTGCTCAGGAAGGACAAGTATCATCTTAACGAATATTTATAGAGAATAAATAGGGCTATTGAGAACTGTGGAAGCAATTATTTAATCACAGTTATTGAAAGTGTAGCGATGTGTATGTCGCCTGACTTAATAAGGCTAAAATGTTAGTCAAACTGTTGAGCCAAATGTGCTGTTTTTAGTCGCTTGTAAATGAATCAACAAAAGATTAAGAGGACACGATAGTAAGCAATAAAACCCTGCATAACCTAACTGAGAGGAGGTGGGACATGTTAAGCCCCGCAAGAATTTTTTTACTCATCTGAAAAAAATCCCAGAAAACAGCTGTATTCTGAGTTTTTTCGCTTATAGATTATACTAATAGATCACAACGATTCAAAATTATGTGAAGAATATTTAGGAATCATGTGTATTAATGATTGAATATCGAAACCCTAGTTTGCAAACAGTTCGGTAAACATGTCAATCTATTTACTTTAATGTTAATCAAAAGTATACAACTCCAAACGATCATAACCAGGAACTTGTAAGGTACAAAAATGAAGGGAAATCGTTGGCACAAATTTAAAGGATTTATGCATTGAGATAAACGAATCTGCTTGTGGATAGTCGGCCTCGATTTACGTGGCAAGGCAAACGCAGACAAAGCAACACAATTGCATAATAAACATTCAGATAAATATTATTGCATTGGTGTGTTGCTATGGTAGGGATTATTCTAAGAAATAAATGTAAGTACGCAAGTTCTGAATGGCCTTTTAGATATTTCCTTTAAATGCAAATAATTTTTTCACAGTGGAAAAAGGGCAATTTTCATAAAAAAGGGTTTGGATATGTATGAATTAATATTTTTGTAGTTAAATCCTTAATTGAAATAACCATTAGATTTAGTGATATATTAAAAGGACGCTACATTTTTACGTGTTGGCATTAAATGTTGAATTGGGTTATGCTAAATTTGACCTTGCGTCCACTTTTGACCCAGAATCTAAGAGCTAAAATGCAGCTCTTTCGGTACAAAAAATTGTATAGCCCATTTAAAGGTATTTGATTTACGAATAATTACTTCAAGCCTTTTCTCGTCTTATTTTGACCGATGCCTATGCCTGCACTGAAAAATGGAATAATCGTTTTTCCTCAAGTACCTTTGGCGATCTATCCGCCGGTGACCTAGGTATCCAAATACAATATAGATTGAACAACCAGGCTTCGGTCACCCCACTTGACTTTGATATTGTATGAATTTGCGTTACGAATTATCGCTTCTTTTCTTTAGTTTGTAAATAAAGTCCAGCAGTCGGATACCAATTTCCTTGATTTTCTCGAAACCATTGCATATAAGTAAGTTGGGCCCAATATATTTATTATTCAGATTTCGTGAGACTCAAAATTCGTTAAAAACTCTTTCCTCAACTCATCATGCGTTCGTTCGAAATTATATTCATCACAATGAGATACACCGAGTTCTTGAAGTTTTAAAGAACAGAGTATGTTTTCAAGTTTTCATTTATTTCCAGTAGGCCCAATCTGGTATTTTTTTGGACGAAGTTTCAGCAAGTATCCTCCAAGAAAGTTTCGTCAAGAAGCAAGACTTCGTATCTGCGCTTTCCGTGATGTGGGAACTCTGCTTACAATCTCATCTTGAACAGGAACAACTCAGACCCTACTTAAGTGCTCTTTGGCTTCACACGGCGAATGAGTTGTTCAAATCTAACACCTTATTTGAGCGTTCGGAAGTGATTGAGGAAGAAGAAGAGGAAGTCGACATGGATGTAAGTGCTATTTTCAGCTGATATTGATATCATAGTTCATAAATATATCCAATGCCTTAGTATCAAATATAATTTTTCGAAGATCTGTAAAGTTTATAACACTTGGTGTGTATAATCTCAAAGTTAAACTTGCTCATTACCTTACAACAAGTTTTTGATAGTTTATCTCGTGATCTCTGTGATATATTTTGCTTATATGTTGGTATATTTGTTGGTGATAATTTTTATTATCTTTTAGTCATTGCATTGTCATATTACTCTTTGGGTCTACACCGATGACATCATCTTATTTTATACCTTTTAATCTGCTAGAATGAATTCCAGGACTAAAGATTCTGTTCAATTTCATCCATTATTCTGCTAAGATCAGTTTGTTTTCTGCTTGTGATTATAGCATTTAAAGCCGCCTTTAGACCACTGTATTGACTTACAATTTTCCTATCATTCAACATGTGATAAGCGATCATAAAACGGCGACGAAAAGCAGGTTATGTGAAGGGTTCAAGCAGTGTTGCCGGAATGCACTTCGAAATTTTCTTCATAACCAATCTCCTAATCTTGAAGATATTAAGGCTGCTTCATCATTTGTGGTGTAACTGAACTGAAATACCTTAGTTGTGCAGTAAATGTTTAGTGTCGTCTTACTACCTTTCCTGCTATTTTCTTAGATCATTTATCCGAAATTCCTAGCAATATTTGTGTTCAGCGGCAAAGTAAATTTCTTGCAGACATTACAACTTGAATATGACTGATTTTCTATTGTGTTCAAATGTGTCTATATTTTAGACTGACTTCCAAAGCGTCCCCTATCTGCGAAATCCTAACTATGATGGTTGGTTTGATATAAAGCGGCCACGTCTCCAACTTGGTCATTGTCTCTTTGCCCTCTCGAATGCGATCCAAAGTAGACTATCTCCAATATTTTCACCAGCCATGGAACTCAACTTGAAGAATCTAGTTCCAAGACTACACCTCTTAGGCTATGCACTTTTGGAAGATTCTAAAAAGCTTCTGTCGTTTGCGGCCTCCTTGAACAAGCTGGAAATCGACAGAGATGTTGTACGTCTACTTAACCAATATCAGTAGTAACTGTACGATATACTAGATAATTAACCAATCTTAATCCGCCCTTCTAGTTAACCGTTGTGGAAAAACTAATTGAATCGAGCGATCGTCGTTCCGACGATTCGGAAATAAAGAAGGGCTTCCCGATACTTTTAACTGAATCCGAAGTTACATCTACTCTGGAACAATTCAAGGTACGTTATTGATGACTTTCATACATTACCTTTTTTAAAATAGCCTTTAAGGAGTCTGCTTTTAAAGTGAATTCTAGTTTGACTTTACATTTTGGCCTTGCTGTATTTATGACTGAGTTTTTTAGGATTATCTATTGCTTTAAAAACGTCACCTGGTCACAAAATGTCACGATTTTATTGTCTCCCTTACTCCTGGTGCATTCTAGTTTGAATTTTGGTCGTATAAAGCTATTTTAACACCGCCTCCCCCCCTGTTCTTGTCTTCCCTCCCCCCCTTTCACGTGCTGCTATCTCACTTTTGGCTCTTTCAATGTGCTGATAGTGATCTTGGGTTTTTTAAATGACATCATATAGTGCTTATGTCCACTCCAAATTTCAAAGGCCTTAAAAGATGAAAAAAAATGTATATAAACTTTAATGTCGACTATGTTAACAATAATTTAACGTTGTTTAAAGTAGATGTTTAGTTAATTCTATTTGCAGGCCATATCCATCCATTCGCCACTAAGGCCATTGTGATTTAATTATCTAAAATTATTCCAGTCTTAATAGTGTGACCGGCAGAATCTAAATAGCCTTAATCAAAACATGCTAAAGGATCATCAGAGGGCTCACGAAAATTCATTCAGACTAATTCTACAACTTATTGGCTTACAATGTATCCATATAAGTGGATAATATTTTCACATTCTGTGGATGTGATCCTCTATACTCCAGCACTAGCTTGCGTAGCCCTGTTCAAGTAATGTTATCGTTTCATTTGCTTCGGCGACGTCTTGGTGATCAACGGGTCTTACGGAAGTTTCATGCCCATCGAAATGCACTCAATTAACGAACAACCTACCATTTTGGTTAAAATAGATGAATGATATGTTAGTTTCCCAGGTAGGGGATGAATGTAGGATCCCGTTGTTCAAGCAAATAAAAGTTTGCGTTTGACACTGCTTTTCCTCGACAGACTATTCACTATTTCCATTCTCTCACATTTTATCAAAACCTCAACGTAAGCTGTGAGAAGGTGCCTTTGTCAATCACTCCTAGCAATTCTTCCTCAACTTTGCTATTCCATCAGAGGCATGCAAGCATATCTTCAGCACATCAGCAAACAATAGGGATATTTATATCGCTGGTATTCAATAGCCTTCTCCTCCTCCTCCTTCCATATAACTTTTTACGTGTCTATCACATCTCTTCATTTCTGGTTTGTGTGTGCGTGTGCGTGTGCGGGAGCGGAGTTGAAAACATGCGAACTAGCGAGATATCACACCCTCTTGCCTCTCCTTTTTTTGTCCTGAATTCACTCGCGCGCGGGCGCGTCTACTTCATGGTGTCTTATTTTAGGAAGATAGTTTTTGGCTCTCTTTTACTTCCACACTCTGCCTGTGTTGTGGTGTCAAATTCACAACTCCCCGCTTTTTTGACAAAAATCCAGGCTTTTACAGCAACAACACCTGCCAACTGCTTTTTATGCTCTGCCAACTTTCAATGAAGCTATAAGTATATTACTACTTAACGTTAAATTCTCCCGTCCTAGTTAATGTTAATGTTACTAGTCAGTAATGAATATTTAGCCTGGAGATTCGAGAAAGTCTATAAGTTGGAGCAAATGATCTGCCCATTTTTATAAAAATACTTACGAACACTTGTTTACAATCACCAACTCTTCCAGATACCATTGGGAAATCGATGCAATACAAAGTGATATGACGTTGAGATCTTGCTACGCAGACTAATATTTCATATTGAAAAAGTCAATCCACTTTCGTGAGTATAATCACCCCGGTTCATTAAATAGCAACCCAAAGGAATGCCAATCTTCCACTTGTTAAATGCAATGGTGTCTCCATGGCAGAATGTGACTTCTCGAAGTCATTGACCTCTGTAACGTAGTAGGTTCTGCTTACAAAAGACACAGAAGGCCCAGTGAGAACATACCTAGATTGCATCATATTGTATTGTGCCAATTGGTACTATTTAAATAGGCAATTCAACCATATTCAAGTCACCGTGCTTTAAAATTACTTTGGCTACTGGGTCGGAGTACTAGTCAATACTTCAATCCCTATCTCCTTCATTCGACAACTTGCCATTGGCGTCTTGGCATCTAACTGGTAAATGCACCGAAATTTCTTGCTATTATAGATGTCATTTTTCGTAATTTATCGCTGAAGACTATGCTTCCTCTTATTCAGTCAAGCGACGAATTGATGATAGTAATAAGTCCTTTCTTAAACTTCAGGTTATTAAAAGTAGGATAGGCTTAGCTTTATATTGTTGAGGGCTAATGACATGCCGACAATTAGTCGATTTTATCACTGCTGCCATTGTAAGAATGTTCGATTTCGACAGCTTATCTACGTATTGTGGCTGTCGACTCTATTGGGATATCAGTGGGTAGTAGAATGTGGGTATTTTTTCTAACGTATAATGATGTCTATCTCTCTTGCCCAAGATGGGTATTGAAACGCATCCCATTTAAATCGATTTGTGTAGGCTACATCTTATTATTCCAATTGGTCACTATGATCAAAACAGGTGGATTTGAGAAAAAAATCGATAAGGGTTAAGAGGTGGGGTCGAGAGAAGAGCGTCACATCGTTTGATTTGCTATTTCGAGTTGTAGAGTATTTACGTAATAGTCCATTCGTTTCTTCCTTAAGTTTCAATATTCAAATATCATTGAATAGCAAGTTACAGATTTATGAAAACAAAACATTTACAAACTCTACACAATTGCAACGGCCAAGTATATTTGTCTGGGGGTGCTAATTTATTCATTCCTCTTCTCTAAATTCAGGTGGTGATTGCTTCGTGATAAATTGGCGTGTGTGTATAATTGCTACTTTCATTTTCTCAAGCTGATAATTACAACGCTTTCATAAACTCCTCTAGAGTCGCCTTTATTTATCCACTCAACTCGCTCACAGAATAACTATGTTTTAGGGGCTTTTTTTACTTTGTCAATTTCTGAAGTTGTGTATCTGCTACACACAGAGAGAAAGGGATAGGAAAAACTCCATGCCATGTTTATATCTTGTTACTTTCAAAGTGAAGCCTATCCGTTATTTCTTAACTGCCACTGATTTGCTATTTCCTGGAGGTAACAGTCCTCAATCATATGTGTGGGCATTTTGATAGTTATCATTAGCCCTATAGCTGACTTCGGGCTTCACAAAGGGGAGGAACATCAAGGGGGGAAAAGTGGAGAGGGGGAACAGAAGAGTGATTCATAGATGTAAAAGAGACAGACACAAAGGTAGAAAAACGGTGAGGTGAGTACTGTGGAAGTAGTCCAATATGATATGCAGTGGAGTGATGGTAGTTTGGAGTGAGAAGTCAACTGACGATTTAAAGACTTTTGCCGTATGAGTATACGTTGCCCAGGTGTACCACGGGGAGGTAAGTCTATCGCACACCTATTGTTTAGATAATAATTTGTGTCTATTTATGTATCGAATAAACCAGCATATAATGTCTTTTCTCCTTATTGCACTATTTTAACTTTGAGTTTTAATCAAAAGCTCTTCGTTTCCTTATGGCATTGCATTTTCTATGCTGTAACAAGAAACGAGGTCACCAGGTTAGGAGTTAAGATAGAGGGTCACTGTTGTATAAACAGACGAGCGTTCAAAGTCACCACTGTGTTGTAGGAACAAGTGAACTAGAACCAGATCTTAAAAGCCAAGGCTATAGGTAACAGAAAACAAATTGTAAAAAGTGCTTTGAGTAGACTACGTTGAGGATTCGACAGGGTGGTGAAAGATTAGAAGGAAGCTTAAGGGTGGATAAATGACGGGCATGTGTGTGTGTGTGTGTGTACGTGGGAAAGCAAATGCAAACACCGTCTATGAGTCACTTGGACTAGGATGTGCGTGAGGTGTGAATGCGGTGTCTTTTTTGTTTGAAATGGGACAATTATAGAAAAAGGAGAATCGATAAGCTCGCAGTCATGACAGTATGGGTTTGAGTCAAGGGGCCGTAAAGGCGAAAAATTAACGTATTTTCGTAAAGAATGTGCGTAACGAATAGGCATTTTCATTTCGTAGTCGGATGAAAGTGGACTAGTTTCAACCTGTTTCTTAGTTAATTACTGGCTGATAATTGTTTTTTTTAACATTTACCCCATCCTTTGTTCGTTATTGAGTCTGATCAGGAGGCTTTCGCTCGTTCCTACGCATCCAATGTTGTGATTTTCCAACCCGATTTCCTAGATTATCGATTTTTTCAAAAAAATCATCTCGCTGAGCACTTGGCAACTTCTATTTTTATTGGAGTCATTTGAGCATATTAAGATTCGCGAACTATGCTAATGAGCCCTTTTGATAGGAATGAAATGGTTTACATTTCCATTTGTTTAGGCATTGGAAATGCATTCTCTGTTCTCGTATCTGCTTGGATGAAATCTCTCAAGTCTCGTTTTGCCTTCTTCCAAAAAATAGAACATTTCTCTGGTGGAAAATTTCATGCCTAAGACGATTATTACTTAATCTTCAATACCCGTTCGTTTATTCTAGACGATCACATCTACCTTGACCCCCTCAGATAAATCATTCCATACCACTATCGATGAAATCGTCAAGTCAATCACCACAGATCCCTCAATTCAATCAGCAGAGATTGAGCTCGTGGAACGTCTTTATTCAGACTTCGAGTGCACTCGAGCAGCCGTCTGGGATAATGAGGCCAAATTACACCGACGTCGTGAGGTTATTTCTACAGTCAAGAGTCGTCTTCGTTCTCTCGCCGATGAAGAGGAACGCATCAGCTACTTTGAGAATGCAGGTACTGTTGAGCATCATGCTTGGTTGGCTCCTAGAACGCGTTCTGAACGTCAGTGGTCACGTCTAAAGGAGTGGAAGAAGGATCTTAAGGAGTATCAACAAAAACGTCAAGGTGGCCGTGACGCAGTTGAGGATCTTTAAGCCTATCAAAATGTGTAGTTAGTTGAGTAACCTTGTGCATAAAATTTAAATTAATAAAGCCTACTACCGCTCACTATGGTGTGATGTTACTTTGTGGGATACTAGGAGGGGAGTTTTGGATATAGCCTTGGGAGATTTCTGAAAACTTTAAATAACACTTGGCTTGGTCAGCTCTTAGAATGTGTCAAGAATATTGTGGAGTATCTTGAAGTCTCCAGAAATGGGCATTTTGCGTAGGTAGAAGGTGATAAAGTAGGTCACTGTTCGATAATGTTAATAATAGGCTATCGGCTACCATAGATAGAAGCGCGGGAGATTCCTGAAAATGCTGTTGTTATAGTGCAATTCGGTTGTTGCAGTTGTGTTTGCCTTATCGTCATGGCCTCACGCCAAGTGGGTGCAAAAGTCCATTCCTAAAAGAGTGTGGTGTTGCGCATCCCTTGACCGTAAAGGGTCAAATAGGTTAACAATTTTACCTTTCTATCAAAGGTACAGATATCGTTCACTAAGGAATGGAACGAGTTGAGGATGTTTCAATAGCTGCTAGTTATAAAAAAGTGATAGTTTCTGCTATCTACATTTCTGCATTTATTTGATTTTGCAAGTATCTCAAAGTGATCATTATTTTTATTAAATTTTCATCCATTTATCAATCCTTTAACGCCCCAATTACTTTTTTTGAAAAAATCCACCCAACCACACCCACGCGTGTCTCCCAGCAGCAGACTGATGCCGCCGACGTGAGGGAGTTTTGGTGGTGCATCAGGCGAAGGCTATAGACACGTATTGAACATGTTTTAAACGCCAATGGCGCCTTCTATTACGAGTCTGGTAGCAATGGAGCTTATTTTGAAGAGGACCGTGCTGTGAAGGAGTAAAGCCTCCCTAAATTACTTCGGATTGATATATATATATATATATCAACATTACCATTTAAATTTATAACTGTCCTATACTTCCAAAGGTAATGTGTACCTTTGCACTGTACGTTACTGAAATTTCATTGCTTAAAGTGGAAACGCATATCTTATGACCGCAAGGGGTCACGTAAGCAATTAAAGTCATGGCACCAATGTCCTTTTATGCCCTGTAGTCGAATCTGCTCGTATCGTTTGCAAATAAATGGGACAAGTCCAGGGTGTTGTGACATTTACTGCTTGTTCAAATTCCTCCAGCCACGCTTCTCAACTTTACTAGGATTTGACTAATTCCCGCAGAATTGGTTATTCGATATTTTGGAAATAATGACATCCATTCAAGCCTACCTCTTAATCATCTCGAACTGAAATGGCCATAAATTTACTTGTGCTCATCAGGTTTTGTCTATCTTTTAACTTCATACTACTCAAAACAGTCTTTTATAGGCGTCACTCTGATTGGAAAAGAATTTTTGACTGGCTGACAGCAAATACTTCTCCACTCCCTTCTACCCCTCTCCTTCCATTCTCTTTTATTTACAAATTTGAAATTAAGATTTGCGTTGGATTTTACCAATGCCATTCGAATAGTAGTAAAGACGAGAATTTCAGTTTTGCTTTCATTGGGAAGTCTGAATTAAGGCCTGATTGAGTTGTCGATTTCTCCATAGGCAAGAAGCTAGCCATTGTGAGCATCGGTTTAAAACTCGAAAGTAAAAAAATGGTGATATTATTAATGCAATGTTTAATCGAGACCTCTGCTGGAATCCCAGAGAAAGACTCGACAACATTAATCTGCAAACCGGCTTCTCATTCTTGAAATTCAAACAAAAGCGGGGCAAAAATCCACTTAAGTTAATGTTAAAAAGTGGGTAGGGTGCGCAATAGACTTACCCCCATGTGGTGCACCCTGGGCAACGTATACTCGTACGGCGAAAAAGTCTATTAACTGGCAGTTGACTTCTCACTTCAAACTACCATGATCCCACTGTATGTCATATTCGACTACTTCCACAGTACTCACATCATCTCTTTTCTACCTTTCTACCTTCGTCTTTGAAACACCCTTCTGTTCCTTCCCCACCCCCTCTCGACTTTCTTTCACTTTGATGTTCTATCCCCTCTGTGAAGCCTGAAGTCAACTGAAGGGCTGATGATAGCCATCAAAGCGCCTGCCATTTGATATAAATAAATGTTAAAAAGGGAA